CAGGGTGGTGACAGCCACCAGCAGCCACCTCAGGCATGGTGAGGGAACCATTTTCATCCCCCCAGGAGCAGCTGGAGGTGACAGGACCACCATGGTCCTGAAGCAGCCACCTGCAGCCCATAGCCAGCCCCAGCTGAAACAGGGCTGTGGGGAGGGGGATCCAGGCGTGACCTCTTGAGGTAATTAATGCTGGTAATGCTGAGGGCCCTCACCTGGTATCTTTCGAAAACCCCCAAGGTCTCACCTGTGAGCTATTGACAACCAGAGCTCATTTATGAGCCTCAAGGAGGAAGGAATGAAGGGTTGGTGGCCTCCTTGTTGCTCTATGGGATGTGCAGGGGAGAGGACGTTGGTTGGGCCCTGGTGCTGCTTGTAAAGGCACAAGGTAATGTGAAACTGATTTTATTCTGTGTATTTTTTTGTTGTAACTTATTGTATTAGATGTGTTGAAAGGGGATATGACTGAGGTGGTATGATATATGACAAAGGGGATGGCTTGACATACATGTATGACAAAGGGGATGTGACTGAGGTGGCTATGACAAGGGAACCCTCCTCTGGTAAAAATTAGGAGGTAAATGTGCTGGGTAAAAGTAAACTTACTGGGAAGTTCCCTTCATGGTCAGCTTGTAGGAAAAGATCCTTGTGGGGTAACAAGCCCGAGCCTGCTGCAGATCTGATACATGCATGGGGTGTGCAAGCATTGCCTTGTGAAAGGACACCTTGTGCTATCAGTAGGATTGCTAATTGTCCTCATTAGGAAGGTCATGTTGAGTTATTCCAGAGTGTTTCAATGAATGATATTGCAGTCTAACATGCAATACTTTAAAAAAAAAGATGTAAAAGAAGATAAAGGATATAGGTAGTGGTATGTCAGTGGGCTGTGTGATACCAGCTGTGTGCTGATGGGTTTCTTGTTGGCCTCTGAGCCTGTGTGAATTTAAACAATATCCTCTTATTGGTATTGGCTTGCTTTGGAGCTGAATTGCTTACAGGTAAACACGGTATAAAAATGTTTCTATAACCAGTGCTGTGCAGCATCCATCCTCTGTTTTGTCTTCTTTAAACTACCACTGAGCAACAGTTTCCAGCTCATGATTTAATCTAGGCTGGGGGAGAGGATAAAAATCAACATTATTCCTACTTCTGCAAGCCTTCTGCTCCAGGTTTACAACTGTGGGAGCCTCTCAGGTGTTGTGTGGAGGTTTTGGGCAGAAATTGCCTGCCTGATCAGTCTTGAAGCCTGGACAGATTGCAGTTGACTTCAAATGAAGGTTTTCCTCGATAAAGATGTTGGTTTTCATAGATAGGCATGTAAACCTGAGCAGAGTACAAAATATTTTATCCGCAGGTGTGAGGGATAATTGTGTAAATCCTTCTTTCTGTGTAAAACTTGGTCACCTGCCTCCTGGAAGTAATAATGAATGCTAGTGAGCAGCAAGATCTCGGTGTTTAAATGTGTCAGGGGGTGTCTCTTATCAGTGATGAGTGGAAGAGCTTTCCTCAGGAGGATAAAAAAAAGAAAAGAAAAGGGGAGTTTGGGAAAAAAATGAATGTGGCCTGACAGAAATACCAGCTTAAAATGTTTTTCGTTAGGCTCCGACAAGAGATGGATGCGTTCGCAGCAACGGAGCTGCAGATGAAAAGTATTCCTGCTTTCGTAAAATGAACATCTAGCTTTCTGGAGCTGGGGAGAACATAAATCTCTCCAGAAATGACACCGAAAACCTGCTGAGCGTTTGCAGCTGCCTGTCAGGGTGTGCTGAATGGGGTGAGGGCTGTGGTATTTTGATGGTTCTCGGAGCTGCACGTGCGTAATCCTCATTTGCTGCTTGTCACTCCCCGAATCTGAAAAGTCAAGCGGGGTGGCGTGGTGTTTAGTCATGCTTCTTAAACGGGCTTTGTAGGCTACTTTGCTCCCTTCTCCTTAATGATATGCTGCGAACGTCCTCCTAAACCTTAAATACAGCTCGGGAATAAAAGGGCCATTTTCATTTTCCTGTGTTTATAATGCCAATCAATTGGCGCCTTCAAGCAATTATTGACTAATTAAAGACTATCTCGGCCAAGGCAGAAAAAGCATTAGGAGCTCGCACGTGGCGTTAAACCATTTGATAATATTTGCACAGGGCCAGAAATGGAGAAGCAAATAGAAATTTGCTGAACCTTTTAAGGAGGAGATTGGAGTGCCGGTGACCAGACAGAACAAATCTGTTTCCAAAGTGGGATCCCTTCGTGCTGCTTAATCCTTTTAAATGCTATATACAAATGAGCTGTCGGTGTCGAGGCTTGCCTGTGGAGGCCATGCATCACTTGATAATGTATTTGGCTACCTGTAATACGTTTTGCTACCTGCTCGTTTAATTTCCAGATGGAATCAAAGCTCAGGCCTGGAATTTAGTCCTCCTGTGGTGGAGGGCTGTTCGGATTCAGGGCATGCAGTATGATACCTCTAGGAAGATTGGGGGGAAAAAAGAGCAAGAAAAATCACCTGACAGTGTTATATGTGGCTTGAGTGTGGACACAAACACCAAAGAGAAGTTCAGAGGTTTGATTTTTTTGATATCTTTTCTAATAATCTCTTGGTTTATGCTTAAGCTCTGTTTTTTTTGCTGTAACTTGGCAAAGAAGACAAAAATCGAGAGTCTAAACCTCCCTGACCTTTCAGGCAAAGGTACGTTGAGCTGCAGGAGCTGATTTATCATTTCTTTTTCAAACCCATATAAACTCTGTTGTGTTTCAGAGCGTAATAGCAAATCCAGGGCTTTTCCTCTGAGATTATGGAGTTGGTGAAGGGGGAAAGGAAAGAAACAACTGAACAAGTCCCTCGTGCAGGGCTGTGCATTGCCCTAGCACAGCTCAGGCCCCTGTTTGTGCATCCAAATCCCAAATTGAAGTGTCTGTGGTCCTACAAAGCGTGTTATTCATGGGAGAGTCCCTGCCTGGAAGAGCTTGCTGTCTAAATGTGTGTTGGAGAAGAGGACAGGATGAGTAAATGATTTTTTTCCCCTCTTTTAATTATGGTAGGTGGGGGATAGGGGATAAGTGAGTTGTTCAGTGTCGCAGTGGAAAAGCTGGAATTTGAACTCGCAGCCCTGTAGCCAGGGGGCACGGCTTCCTTGTGCACCACCATTTATTATTTTTAAATGGGTATTTATTGACCGATTCAGAGTTACTTAAGACTCTCACTGGAGTACGTGGAAAGACATTCAATTCCCTGTCCGGAGACTAAGCCAACCAAGAGTGTCTCTCTAATAAATTACACATTCATTTTTTTCCTTAATCCTTGCTCCAATTAATTGATCTCAGTGCCCTGATTAAAACAGCTCAGCTCACTTATCCCGGTCTTTGTCCCTCGTGTCTGCCTCCGGGCAGGTGCAACCTGGATGCTGGCTTTGCTGTGAGCAGCGTGAAGTTTTCCAGAAGTGTTTTTACATTAGAAATGCTCGCAGTGAAGGCTTCTGATCTAACTTTTCTACCACTGTTAGGAGGAGATGAATAAGTTGCTGCGCTCCTCAGATGCTCTGCCAGGCTCGTAAGAGCAAACAAGCCTCCAGTTCGAGTCTTTTTGCTAAGAGGATGCAAATAGTAGCTTAGAAATCTAAGGTTTTGTGCCCAGGAGAATGTCTTTACAGAGCTACAGGGCTTATTATGAAAGGGGCTGTGTGCAGCTGCATGACTTGCTTGTTTTTTCCAGGATTCGAGATAAATTCAAATAATCACCGGCATAAATCTCCCTCACGAGGCTGCAAGAACAACTGTACCAATGAGAAAACATGGAGCCAACGAGTGTAAAAATATATTTAATGCTGTTGGTGCTGCTCACTTGTTTCCTTAATATAATGCACAGCTGATTCCAGTCATTAATAGGCTTCTCAGTGAATGAAACAAAAGTGCTAAGAAGTATAAATTGCCCTTTATAATCAGGAGTCAGTCATTCCCCGACTTGGTTCACCAATTATTTACTCATTCCTTTAATAGAAAGAATGTGCACTTAAAAGGAAAGCGGCTTTATATGCTGGCAGAACTTGGTTTTTCTCAAGTCGGGTCTGCTATAAATAGGGGGAGCAATTTTTCTTATAGCTCTGTAGGTTTTTATTCCAAAAAGCTTTGGAAAACAGGTGGCTATGTGAAATATCAAGGTCTGGAAAATGGATGTTTAAATGTCTTAAAAAGAGAATCTTGCACTTTTCAGGACCCTTCAAGTAAATTAATAAGTTAATAACTTTGCAGGTGGGCTAGGGGGAAGAAGGAAGGAGAGAAGGAGAAGCAGCACAAAGGGTTTTATTGCAGGTAGGTTCCTGGCAGCACCCAGGTGTGGTCTCTTTCCAGGTTAGAGACCATGAAATGCCAATATTGGTCATCAAACTTCAGGTTTTCCATAACATCTGGGGAAAAAAGAATTCCTCTTGTGCAGCCTTAGCATCTGCTTGTCCTGGTTGCTGCCTGGGAGAGGGCTGCGGAGGCAGGATCTGCTCCACGCTTGCCAGAGTGCTTCAGATAATCACAGCCCGATCTGTTTTTATTTGTAGACCTCCCCTGCCTTAAGAATTGATATGCAGTGGAGCCATCCCTGTTGCTGTCAGCTGAGGATCTGCCCATTGACTGCGGTTCAGGCTCTAAATTAAAGCTGATGAAAATCTCCACCGAGACTGCGGAGTCCAATTTTACCTCATTTGGTGTTGCAGTAAGAAGAAGAGGAGGTAGTTGGCTGTTAGTTCACAACCACTTTACTGGCAAACAGTCCTTTAATTCTGAGACACTCGTTCGTTAAAGTCCTGCCTGAGTTTTTAAGCTCTGAAGCATAAATGCAAGGCAGAGTTGTGGAGGTTGGGTGTTGGAGAGAGCACTTTGGAGACCAGAAATCAAGCATTTGATGTTAAAATGAGATTATTGGTGAAGGTATATTATATATTCAGGTATATTTGTGAAGTTAATAATATAAAATAATACAAAATATTAATGAATTTAAATTTTTAGCTAAGACCTACTTAAGGAAGATTTTCTAGGAATGGCAATGCTGACAATCCTGCTTTGGAGTGGAGCTGAGAAGTTCAGCGTTCAGCTATTCCCTCCTTGCTGATGAACAATTTTTGAGGTGGGTGGCATATGGTGAGGGAAGCGCCTGCAGGAGGGCTTTTTTGGGAAGCTGTCCCAGTCCTTTCCATGTTGCTTGCCTCTGTTTTGCCCCGAGCACCTTCGAGCCCCAGCCTCTCCCGTGCGCTTTGCCCACGATGATCCCGATCGGCGTGGTCAGGGCTTGTTGGGGCCGGGTGCCAGGAAATCGGGGCTAAATGCAATTTCATACACCAGCACCAATTTGCCGTGGATGCCTGCGAAACATCCTCAGAAATTTGGGAGCAAATGAGGTTTCGTCTCGCCGTTAACGAGGCTGTGCTGCCAAGCCCTGTCACCGGTGGAGCTGACCCCTCTGCTCTGGCAGTCCTGTTCGGCTGCCTGCTCCAGCTGGTGCTATTGGCCCTTAATCAGAAGTGTTTATACTCCCTCATTCGCACTTGATTTCTGCTTTTCCCTGCTCGCCTTTGTATTCAGAGTTGGTTCATTATGAACGATATTGTTCCGAGGCTGCCTTGACATTTTTGCTGGCAGCTGGCAGCGATCGGTCAATATTACCGCTGTCACTTCTCACAACGCGGAAAATATGCCATCACACCAATTAGGATGTTTACTCAATCTTGTTCTCCGCGCTCCTCCTCACTGGCAAACGCGGCTCGGGGTTTTAAAACGGGGAGAAGCGTGTTTAAAAAACCCTACGGGCTGGGGTGCCTGCAAGAACTGGCACGGCCGCAGCGTTTCCAGCTTCTGTGGGGTGAGAATCGGGATCAAATTCTGCTCTCGTGGCTTTGTAGATGAGTGATAAATCCTCTGGGTTGCATTTTGCACTCGCTTCTGCTAAATATTGTCTCTTTTCATGGGGTAAGGGTAGATAGTTGCCTCGTTGACTTGAAATCGAAACAAATTGCGATGGCGTAACGGGGAATAGAATTTAATTTGGTGGCTGTAACAAGCAAGGATCCTGTTCCCTCTCCCCGCTAAAATATCTCCTACCTTATTCAATTAAACACAAAGATTTATATCAGCAAGGAGGCACCACAGACAGTGTGTTTGCGTGGCACAACGTGGGATGATTTAGATGGAGCTAAAATTGCTTCCTGGGAAGGGTACTGAGTTTCTTGAGCTTGCATCCCCAGAAGCAACATAGCGTGCACTTAATTTCCTGTTCCCAAAAGGAAACAACTTAAACCCAGAAGAGCAGAACTCAGAACCAAAGGAAACATTTCCTTTCCCATTTCAAGAGGAAGGAATTCCTCTTCCAGGTAAGAGTTGGGGCGAGGAAGGACCATCCTCAAAGTGGCAGAACACACCTCATACAGAACAATAACGCTTCCCTCTTCCTTATTCCATCCAAATTTACCAACCTGCTTGGTGTTTCATATACAATTCTTCCTTTACCCATCAGTTTACGAGCATCCGAGGAAGGAGAAGCTCGTTTTCAGCTGAATTTTTAATTTGGTCCCCAGTTTGCAGCTAAGCTGAACCCAAGCTTAAGCTGTCAGCGTTGACGAGGCTGATAGCGCCGCTCAGGTTTTTTGTTGGCGTGATCAAATGGAGCTTGTTAGGCGCGGGGAAGCACGGTGCCACTCAAAATAATGAGTTTGTTTAGTGCAAACGTGCTGCTCGCCGTGTAGGCTTTGTAGCGCGATAGCTCAAATTGTCATCGGCGCGGGCTGCCTTCAAATAACGAATGTTGTACAAGCTAATGACAAGTTTCTTCTAATAACTTCCAGCGCCTGCGTGAGATATTTCTCAACCAGGAGGAGATTGTAACCATAACTTAGGGTCCGTCCAACTTTTTTCCTGCTTTCTACGTGCTCAACTCTCTACTTGAAGTGTCAGTGAGCAGCGAAGACAACGAAAGGGCATAGTAAATGTAAGATGAGAGTAATTGTGAGCCCAACTCAATAGGAAATGGATGAAATGCCATAAAATAGGGTCAAAACTGCCACCAGCCCAAAGGGATATGTATTTTGAACCGACTGCTTCCTGGCCGTGCTTTGTCAGAATCTCGTTTGCCCCCTGCCTCCAGATCTTCCCTTGACTTGATTTGGGATGTCATACAGCGAGCGTTACGTGATTAAAGACTTAATTGATTAGGGATAATGGGAGTAGTTAAATTTTAATCCAGCCTGCTGCGGTACCCTTCAGAAATGGGATCAATGCTGTTGCCTAGGTCTCCTCTGTGGGATGAGGGAGGTTGCCAGCTGAGGTCAGGGCTTCAGCAGTTCCTTGGAGCTGTTTATTGTAGTAATTGTGCTGACTTTTACTCAAAATACCCCGATGTATATCTGGAAATGTGCCTTATATGGGACATAGAGTTTTAATTATGCTTCAGGTGTAGTAATTACCCTCCAAACCTCGTTTTCCTATTGATTAGGAGGGGGCTACATGCAATTTGATCAGCATCATATGGTGCTCGGGTGGTGTTTAAAGCCCCGAGGGACTTAAATCTGATGAACATAGCTGCCCGAAGACCTGAAGCCCAGCACCACGCCGTGTCTGGGAGCATTTAACTGAGGCAGCGTGGCCGAAGAAGGTCATCCTCATTTTATTTTTAATGTCATGCTGAAACACCGAATGCACTTCAAAATTGTCTCCTTGTAACTATGGCACTTGAAAAGTTGGGTCAGTTTGGGGAAAATGCTCCTCAAATGTGGCCCTACAGCCTGATTATTAGCGTTAGAGACAGCTCACTAAGTACTATCTAGATGTTGGTAATGAGCAGGTATTTTTATTATTAATCTTCGCGTAAAGCTTTAATTACTTTGCCTGGATTTCCATTATCACTTTAATTTCAGAGCTGACAAAGCAGGCTCCTGCAGAGGCTTGAAGCAAATTGCCTGGCAGCGCAGTACAAATAAAAAAAGGCTGTTTGTTGAGACCAGGAACTTCAGTGCCCAGTCCTAAAAACTGCTCTTCCAGGGCTTTTTCATCTTCGGAGCTGATTCTCTAAATGATCTTCTTTGATGTGTTTGCTTACTCTTTGGCAACAAGTAGTAATTTGCATAGGAGTCAACGTTTAATAACAGCATATGAATTTCAGTGAAATTCATGGCTGTGCTTAGGATTTTGCTGTTCTAGGCAAACGCATAAAACATCGAAATGATACCGCTCGATGTTGAGAAGCAGCACTCTTGGTTATTAAACATCGGAGGGCACGAGGGAAAAAAAAACAACCGAATGGGTTGCTTGATTCCCTTCGGATTTGGTCAAGTTTCAGGATGCAGAAGCCGGGTGGCAACTGCATCTCGGGAATTCCTCAAATTGAAGTATTTGATAAAAGATTGGAAGACCTTAAAGGGAAGTGTGAACAGGTAGGGCTGAGTTTGAAGCTCATTTTATGGGGAAAAGATGGTTTTGGACTTCGTACCTTTGTATTTTTCCGTGTTTTTCCCCCATGAATATTAAGAATGTTTTATGATGTGGAAATACTCTGCCTTTTTTTTTTTTTTTATAAATTCTGCATTTTCTGCTGAAGTTTCTCCATGGGCAGAGCTGTGGGTTGCTGAAGTGGCTCACTTTCAGGCTGCCCTCAACGCCAGGCACCCCGTGCTCCTCATCCTGCGTGCTCGTGCCAGGCTCTGAGCAGCTCCACTTCGTTAAAGAGCCGAGGAGGCCAAGTATCCATCGGGAGCGGCTCGCTATCTTGAAGAATAGTCCCTTAAGAGCTAAATCCTCCTATCCAAACAGCGGGGTGGATCTCCGATAAGCAGCTCAAATGAAGGATTATCTTGGCCGTGGCGCGGGCGAGTTGATCTGCGGGGTGCCTGCGTGCTCAAATGAGGCTTAAAGCTGCCTGTGCACCGGCGTGGCGTTGCTGAGGATTTTCACCTGTTGCCTTCGTGGGCCAAACCCGGAGAAGCGGGACTCATTCTGTAGGGTTTCGTGTAGCCCTTCGTGTAGGTCTTCATAGGAGATTGTAGAAGGTTTAATGCTGTTGACCTTACGGCCCTAGAGCTTCTCTACCGTGTGGCTGATCTAGAGAGAGTCTCAAATCCTGACCCGAGGTGTAGGTCAGAATTAAACCCTTGCTGTCACGTTTATTTCTGCAGCCTTTCTTTTTCATTAGGGAAGCTTGCTATCAGCAACTGCCTATCTCCAGCCAGTGCTGTGTCCACAATGATGCTCTTAGCATGGCTTTTGAACTCTTTTTTTCCACTTGCAAATGGATTTGGAGTGCAGCAGGCTTTCTGCAGCCCACTGAGGAGGTGGTGGCGGTGCTTTTTATCCATAAATGCTATTTAAGGTTTTCTCCAGTGCATATCACTTGCCTTACTTTCAGCTTAGGACTAGAGGCTGAAGGACAAAGCTGAAGTTACCCAGCAAAGAGCAGAATCTGATGCGAGTCAAGCTGACTTAGAGAGATAAAACCCGAATTATTTACTCTCATCCTGCTCCTTTACATCTCTTTAGAACTTCGAGTCACAAAAAGATGGCTAAACTTAGCTTAATATAGTTGGGTTGGATATAATGATGCCTCAGAGCTGTTTTACAAAGCCACAAGCATGCTTTATGGTACTATTACCAAGCAATATTGAGAGCATTCCCCCGGTTTATGCCGGGAATAAATTCTGCCCTCCAAAATGTTCAGCAGCAGGGCAGGCCGGTCGCGAGAAATGGAAGAGAGGCAACTGCTGAGATCTCGAATGGCCCTGCCTAGAGTGAATCTCGGTTGATGAGAGGCTGTGGCTGCTGCTAGTTAATTGCTTTTGCATTCTTTCCGAATGCTTCGGACCAAAATAAAATTAGGTCGGGAGCAGCTCCGTGATGATCTGCGAGACTCTGTTTCCACCGGGCTGCGGGAATATTTTCTGCACAAATATATTGATGGATGGATGTCAGGTAAAATGAGTAGCAAGGGGAAGAAGAGCTTCAAAACCAACTGCTCTTCAGGGTTATTTAGTGAGAGCTGGGCTTGTAACTCCGGATTTTTCCCTTCGGTCCCTTCCAGACCCTAATGGAAAAGGGTTAAAGTTTGCGGGAAGGAGCAATGTTCGTGAGGAGGTGCTTAATGGTTGGGATTTCAGAAATCCAGGTCTTCTCGGGTTGTTATCACAGCGTGGTAGGTCTAAAAGTGAAATACAGGTGGCAGAACCACTGCGGTGTCTGAAGGTGTTGGGTGAGGCAAGGGATGAGATGTGCTGCTTTGCACATCCCCACTTTTGGGGATCCCAAAGGAGATGGTCCCAGCAGGCTGGCGGTCTCAGCTCCAGACCCCATAAAATCTTCCTTAAAGCTTAGTGGCTATTTAAAGGACAGAAATAAAGGAAACCCCACTTTCTGTAGACCCACTTCTTGAGCGCAGAGGAAATATTTAAGAGCAATTAGCCACGTCGTGTCCCTCTCCGAGACCTAAACAGCAGGTAAATCACGTTAAAAATTGAGGCTAGGAGAGCTGTGCCAGAAAGCAGAGAAGTGGGGCTGCATTAGCGTTACCACACACTGTTCCTGCCTAATTGCTCTCGACTTTAACAGTAGATAACGCGCTGTTTGTCCATTTAAGGCCTTTTGTTTTAGTTTTTTTTTCTTTAATAAAACCATCCAACCCGGCGAGCCGCAGCCAGGCGTGTTTGTTTGGGCTTTAATCTCATTACACAGCTCCTCTGTGCAGAAAGCCTGTAAGCGAACGGGTTGTAACAGGATTACATACATTGGCTTATTTTATGCAATTTCCTAACAAGGTTATTCAAGGATACTGTATTTACAGTTTTTTTTTTTTTCCTGGCAATGCTTTTTTACTTTTCCTCTAG